CTCCGCCTTGCTTGTGTGGAACAGGTGCGGCTCTCTTTTCGTATGTGCTGTCCTGCTAAGGAAGTCCTATATGTCCTTGTGGGGGTGCTGCCTTGCGTGTCCTCTTCTCTACTTCGTTTCCCCCGCCCATCGCCCCTGGTTTTTGCCACGAACGGGACAACCATACCATTGGAGAACGCACAGCGCACAACCATATATTAATGCCCTCCTTTCTTCACATATTCATTCTAAACGAAGGAACCTTTAATGGCTGACCGTCAGAACGGGTTGCCTTTGAACGCCGGGGGGTTTTCGGGAGGCTTCCCTCGCTGCTATCCCCGTGGAGGAGAGCGCGGCAGAGCCCGCTCCATGCGACGCTCAGGTTAGCTTAGTGTCTAAGTCTAGGGTAAGCATTTACGCGAGGAGTTTCAGGTGGGGTACGGGTTGGGAGTTTGAGGTTTAGGGTTCGGGGTGTGTCTGTGGTAGGAGGGAGCTCCTGCTTTGAAGAAGATTTAGGGAACATCTTGAATTAAGTTGCTGGTGCTGAGGCTTCTTTGCTGGAGCTGTCTTTCTTTGTAGGGCCAAGCCACTACGGGAGCTGTTTCTCCAATTTGCACGCCTAGCTAAGCCGGGAGGAAGGAAGGTCGGAGGGTAAGGACATTCGAGCTGCTGGGCCTTATATAGAGTACACGCCTTCAACTCCAGAGCGAAAACCCTTAAAGCCCTAAATTATAAGCCATCATCTTTTTGTGATGAGACCCATGTGCCAAGGAAGGCCACGGGCTTCGGAGTTTGACGCTCTCCTACTGCCCTTGCACCTGGGACTAGAAGGGCTGTTCCGAGGCTTTCTGGGCTTGGGGAGTCGAAACGGAGAATGTGGCCTTGACGTGGACAAAAATAGCTGGGTGGTTGCAAGTGTTGTAAATCAGGTTTCCTCACAGTAGGCTTCAGTGTGAAATGACAGTTGCACCAGCCCTGCACAGATTGTCTACCGAGAACTTTGATTTGCAGGATCTTGCTCTACCGGTTGAGGTCGCACATTGCCTCGTCGTATGTCGCAAGTACCGATCAGGTTTAATCACCTACTGTTGATCGCGATAAGCAAGCTAGAAGTTGCGCTAGGCACAAGATGTAGCAAGTGCTTGCCATTGGATTTGTTATTGAATTACCCGATATTACCCGAGACATGCTGAAGAATGCAGGACATGATGCGATATTCAGTGCCACACCGAACCACACTTACAACAAACTCCCTCCACAAACATGACTTCCAGGATATCAACATGCAGGCTGTGCTAGGCTTTAGTTACTTCGAACTGGTTCCCAGACGTCGGCCTCATTATCGGACGCATGAGCCTCTAGTATAGGGGCCTAAATGATTACCAATGCTACTTGGAGGGTTCCTTATTACAAGTACAGTGTAATATACCCCAAAACCTGTTCGAACTATTCAGGCCCCTACATTAGATCCTTCGAGCTTGACAACCCAGGCTCTCCCGAGTCTTATGCACAAATCAGAAGCACTCTGTGACACGATGACCGATTTTTTGGGGGGCGTTTCGCCGGTTGAGTGCTTTCGGAGGTCAGAGTTTAGGCTTCTGCGCTCCGGAGTATAACGATTAGAAGTGCTTTCATCAGCATTGACTGACTACATGTATTGCTGCTATCCCGCTGCTCAGACACCGTCCTCATTCGGTCTATGTAGACTGATAGATTCCGGTGCATACAAAAGGTTTAGTTAATGCACCACCTCCTGAATCCGAAACACGAAAAAGACGCTAGGTTCGCCTAGCGACGCTTGGTCCCCTCTTTGGCGCAGCCTCCCGCCGAGCCTCACGGACACGTGGAAATGGTTCCGGCTTCAGGGTTAAAGGAGTTAGGGCTGCAGGTGGCTATGTGGAGTGTACACAGTAGTACATGGAGGAGGTCGTGTGGACATTGGTTTGGTTGCGAGCGTTTAGGATGCAGGGCCGCTGGTCAAAACAGTTTAAGTGCAGGGTGAAATGCCTGAATGGAGACGGGTGTGCTGCCCGAGGGATCATGCTAATGTAAGCGGAATCCCGGGACGAGCTTGGTTGGAAAGTCATGTGAAAAAGGCTTTTGTTCTTGCTTGAGGCTTGTCAGATTTCCATATCCAGTTGTTAGCGCTCCCTGCTGCGGATATGGGCGAGGTTGCTTGCTGCACGAGGGTCCTCAGCTGCCAGTCAGGCCGCTCATCCTAAGAAGGAGATCCTGCGGAACCAGCGGGCCTGGTTGCGGACAAGATGAGAATCCACGAGACGATAAGCTAAATGCATACATACATGCATGGTCGTACATGTTAAGCAACCAGAAGGAGGAATAAGTAAACAGGTAAGTAAATAGGTGTGCATATGTATGTGTATATGATATATATATATATACACACACATGTACATACGTGTGTGTATGCTTATGTATGCATGTATTTGTGCATGTATGCATGTATGCATGTATGTGTGTATGTATGTATGTATGTATGTATGTATGTATGTATGTATGT